GAACGTCCAAAGCATGATCTCGATATTGTTAATTTGTTGTATGGGTTCTTTTCTTATTTTGACTGGTGTATACTGGTGAGGGAGTGCTGGAGCTGGTGTATACTGGTGAGGGAGTAACATAAGTTCCTTCAAATCTATGTTTGAAGAACTTAGATTTGAAAGAACATCAAACAAATAATAGTATACCAAACAAATAATAAGTAATTAATCATCCACAACCCAAATACTGACAGTTTTCTTAAATAAGCCACGTCCTCGGGGCCCAGTAAGACCCCATAGCCCAAACGCTCTAACACTGGAAGCATGCGAGGGTTGTGATAAGGCAGAGGGGCCGGGTCGAACGAGTCGAGTTGATAGACCAACGTGGCAGTGAAGATGGTAAGTATTAGGATTAGAAACAGAGAAGTTGTGGCTGACGGCCATGAGTTGGAGGGTTGGGTTTGGGAAGATGACTCGGCTGAGTCTACAGGGTTCTTTGACTCGGACATGGTAGTGATCAAACTACAGCAAATTGGAGACAAATGAATAAAAGGGTTGGTCCGTCCATTTATAACTATAAATGGGTTGGTCGGTTTATTTATAACTATAAATGGGTTGGTTGGGGTTGGTGTATTATTGTATGGAGATCTCGGTTTTCACTTCTTCACCAATTGGAGGGTTGGGTTTGGGAAGCTGACTCGGCCGAGTCTGCAGGGTTCTTTGACTCGAACATGAACTATCTGATGAACTAAACTATAGTCAATTGGAGAGAAATAAATAAATTGGTTATTTGGTCGTCGGTCCATTTAGAATTATAAATGGGTTGTGTATTATTGTATGGAAAGCTCAGTTTTCCACGTCTTCAACCAATTTGAACGTCCAAAGCATGATCTCGATATTGTTAATTTGTTGTATGGGTTCTTTTCTTATTTTGACTGGTGTATACTGGTGAGGGAGTAACATAAGTTCCTTCAAATCTATGTTTGAAGAACTTAGATTTGAAAGAACATCAAATAAATAATAGTATACCAAACAAATAATAAGTAATTAATCATCCACAACCCAAATACTGACAGTTTTCTTAGATAAGCCACGTCCTCGGGGCCCAGTAAGACCCCATAGCCCAAACGCTCTAACACTGGAAGCATGCGAGGGTTGTGAGCCGGAGCCCTCCTCCCAATGAAGTGGCAAGTCAACTCGTGATAAGGCAGAGGGGCCGGGTCGAACGAGTCGAGTTGATAGACCAACGTGGCAGTGAAGATGGTAAGTATTAGGATTAGAAACAGAGAAGTTGTGGCTGACGGCCATGAGTTGGAGGGTTGGGTTTGGGAAGATGAGTCGGCTGAGTCTGCAGGGTTCTTTGACTCGGACATGGTAGTGATCAAACTATAGTAAATTGGAGACAAATAAATAAACGGGTTGGTCAGTCCATTTAGAATTATAAATGAGTTGGTCCGTCCATTATTGCATGGAGATCTCCATATTGTTAATTTGTGGTTTGTGTCAAAAATGGTCCAACACTTATGGCCCAATTTAGTGATGATGACATGTTGGTGCATTATTGTATGGAGATCTCAATTTCCACGTCTTTCACCAATTGGAACGTGGAAAGCATGATCTCGATATTGTTAACTTGTTGTTTGTGCCGGCTGATGCTAAAAAATGATCCAACACTTATGGGCCCAATTTAGTGATGATGTCACCTTCAATCTCGTGTCTTTGACAGAGCGGATGATCTGTAAGACAAAGAGTGCTCGGTAAGATCTTTGACACCGATGTGATATCGATCAAAGGCTCTCGATATACTTAAATTAGAATAAGCGCAGAATGAATAGTGATATGAACAGAATAATGATTAAATTTTCGAATGTCGCAATTACCTTGTTTTATGTGCATATTGGGTAGAATTTCAATGTGGGACTATCGGCATTATCTGAGGAGGTGCCATGTGTATCTGTAAGGAATTCTTATGAAGTCTATCTTTTGTTATGATCAGCAGTCCAGGGTGCCGAAGGCTCACATCCTGCCATGATGCTTTGAGAAGCGCAAATAATTACCGATTTTAGTGGGTCCTCTCATGGGTCCCTTATTCCACGTGTCATTTTCTGATTGACCAGTTATATATTGTATACACAGTATCCTTTTCTTATTTTGAATGGTGGGTTTGTGAAGATACTGGTGGTGGGAAGGAGTGGTGGAGCTGGTGTGGGGATAGGGTTGGACACGAAATGATCATTTTGCTCTTAAATTTAACAGAAAGTGTAATGGAGTTGCTAAAGGAAGTGGAATTCACGGACTCAAGAAACCATTTTGCGAACTCAACAACCAAAATTCAAATTGGGGCACAAATTTAGAACTACTTTTGCTACAATTGAGCATTAGTTTTATTTTATCCGTTTAGCCAATTTGCTCTTATAATATGATATGATTATTATGGCAAAATGGTTGTCACAATATTCACTTTGAGACTTCAATTTCTTGATTGACATAAGTTACTTCAAATCTATGGAGAACTTAGATTTGGAAGAACATCATAGTTTAATAATTATGTTCATTGTTCGATTTCTTGCAATGTAACAAAGAAAAAGAAAAACGCTATTGTAACCTTATTATATAGCATACCAAAAAAATATTAAGTAATTAATCATCCACACCACTACCCAAATACTGAAAGTTTTCATGTAAAAACCAACAAACCTGTTTGCCAATTGTCAAATCAAATGGCCATAATCAGAGATTTGGCATCTTATTCTTGGCCTCCCACAATATTGGCCTTCTCCCTTAGAACAAATTTTTGTATCTTCCCAGTTGGGCTAGGCAAATTCCCAAATATCACAACTTTTGGAACCATAAAACCAGGCAATGTCCCCTCACAAAACTCCAGAATCTCTCTAGAACTTACCTCAACACCACCACCAAACCCCTCCTTCAACTTCACAAAAGCACAAGGAGTCTCCCCAAAAACCTCATCATATTTTCCCACAACCGCAACCAATTTTTCATATTAAAAAAATTAAAAATAAAAGAAAAATAAGATAATGAATCCTATTTTTATGGAACACAACTACCCATTATTTTTTTTAATTCTAAAATAAATTTTAAAAAAATTTTAAAAAGTCTCTTGCAGGCGCGAAAGCACGTGCGTGCGGAGAGGCTAATTCCAAATAAAGTCAATATTAGCCAACACAGATGCTTCATTCAAGTACAACTTGACAGACGCTCTTTTGGACATTTGGAGGGTCAGCCTCATGGTAGATTCTTGAGCTACGACCCGAGTGCAGGATCAGCCTCAAATACTGACATAGTATTTTAATTAGTTAATAATACATGTTGATAAGTGTATTTATAATATCATGTAAAAGTATTATTGTGAGTTAGGACAGTTCAAGAGCGGAATCATGAATTTTTTAATAGGTGAGTTAAGTAAAGGGTGATACAATCACCGTTAACATGAATATTGATGACAAACTGAAAATTGATTAGACATTTGATTATTTTGGGTACCTCTCTTATTTCAAACATTTACTTAATCCATGCAATAAGTTCAAAAGATGAAAGGTGGATTAGACATTATTATTGTAACTATTATAATGTTTTCTTATCTAAATAATGCGTTGGTCCGTATATTAAAGAGAAACAACCAAAAAACAAAAAAATTTAACATTTCCTTCGTGGACCAACCTGATCGGTATCACAGACGAGAACTTCATTGTGGAGTCCGAAATTGAGCCCGAGCGGTCTGCCGCCCGTGTTTACCCAGCTATCCACCGCAAACTCGCTTGGATTTTGCGAGTCGTTGAGTTTAACTCGCTTGACCCACCCGTCTTCACAACCAGTGTAAATGAGCCCCGACTCGGAATGATAAGCCACGTCCTCGGGGCCCAGTAAGACCCCATAGCCCACAAACTCTAACCCTGGAAGCACGAGAGGGTTGTGAGCCGGAGCCCTCCTAATGAAGTGGCGAGTCAACTCGTGATAAGGCAGAGGGGCCGGGTCGAACGAGTCGAGTTGATAGACCAACGTGGCAGTGAAGATGGTAAGTATTAGGATTAGAAACAGAGAAGTTGTGGCTGACGGCCATGAGTTGGAGGGTTGGGTTTGGGAAGATGACTCGGCTGAGTCTACAGGGTTCTTTGACTCGGACATGGTAGTGATCAAACTATATTAAATTGGAGAAAAATAAATAAACGGGTTGGTTGGACACTATATAGAATATTTTTCAAAATAGAAGAGAAATTGGACAAATTATAAAACCAACTGGTCTGCCTCACCAACTGGTCTCACCAACTGGTCTGCCTCTCACCCTCTCACCCTCTATGGGCCCAAAATGAATTATAAATGAGTTGGTCGGTCCATTATTGTATGGAGATCTTGATAATGTTAATTCGTTGTTTGTGTCAAAAATGGTCCAACACTTATGGGCCAATTTAGTGATGATGAGATCTCAAACTGTTAATTGGTTGGTTGGTGCATTATTGTACGGAGATCTCAATTTCCACGTCTTTCACCAATTGGAACGTCCAAAGCATGATCTCGATATTGTTAATTTGTTGTTTGTGCCTGTTGATGCTCAAAAATGGTCCAACACTTATGAGCCCAATTTAGTGATGATGTCACCTTCAATCTCGTGTCTTCGACAGAGCGGATGATCTGTAAGACAAAGAGTGCTCGGTAAGACCTTTGACACTTATGTGGTATCGGCCGAAGGCTCTCGATATACTTAAATTAGAATAAGCGTGGAGTGAATAGTGATCTGGACAGAATAATGATTAAATTGCCGAATGTCACAGTTACCTTGTTTTATGTGCATATTGGGTAGAATTTTAATATGGGACTATGGGCATTATCTGAGGAGGTGCCACGTGTATCTGTAAGGAATTCTTATGAAGTGCGTCTTTTTCTATGATCAGCAGTCTAGGGTGCCGAAGGCTCACATCCTGCCAATGATGCTTTGAGAAGCGCAAATAATTACCGATTTTAGCGGGTCCTCTCGTGGGTCCCTTATTCCACATGTCATTTTCTGATTGACCAGTTATATATTGTATAAACATTATCCTTTTCTTATTTTGAATGGTGGGTTTGTGAAGATACTGGTGGTGGGAAGGAGTGGTGGAGCTGGTGTGGGGATAGGGTTGGACACGAAATGATCATTTTGCTCTTAAATTTAACAGAAAATGTAATGGAGGTGCTAAAGGAAGTGGAATTCACGGACTCTAGAAACCATTTTGCGAATTCAATAACCAAAATTCAAATTGGGGCACAAATTTAGAACTACTTTTGCTACAATTGAGCATTAGTTTTATTTTATCCGTTTAGCCAATTTGCTCTTATAATATGATATGATTATTATGGCAAAATGGTTGTCACAATATTCACTTTGAGACTTCAATTTCTTGATTGACATCCTAAGCATCTCCTTTTGTAGCACAAGTTACTTCAAATCTATGGAGAACTTAGATTTGGAAGAACATCATAGTTTAATAATTATGTTCATTGTTCGATTTCTTGCAATGTAACAAAGAAAAAGAAAAACGCTATTGTAACCTTATTATAGCATACCAAAAAAAATATTAAGTAATTAATCATCCACACCACTACCCAAATACTGAAAGTTTTCATGTAAAACCAACAAACCTATTTGCCAACTGTCAAATCAAATTGCCATAATCAGAGATTAGGCATCTTATTCTTGGCCTCCCACAGGATTGGCCTTCTCCCTCAGAACAAATTTTTGTATCTTCCCAGTTGGGCTAGGCAAATCCCCAAATATCACAACTTTTGGAACCATAAAACCAGGCAATTTCCCCTCACAAAACTCTATAATCTCTCTAGAACTTGCCTCACCACCATCACTAAACCCCTCCTTCAACTTCACAAAAGCACAAGGAGTCTCCCCCAAAACCTCATCATATCTCCCCACAACAGCAGCCTCCAAAACTTTTGGATGAGTCAGCAAAACTGCCTCCACCTCAAGGGTGCTGATAATCTCACCACCACAAATGATAATATCGCTTGCCCTGTCTTTCATCTGAATGTACCCATCCGGATGCCTAACTGCCAGGTCACCAGTCCTATACCATCCACCCTTGAAAACCTCATGAACTGGTTTGGAATTCTCTAGATAACCCAGCATCAAAGTGTTGCCTCTGAACATAATCTCCCCCATTGTTTTCCCATCAAATTCCACACTTTCCATGGTGTTTGGATCCTTCACATCAACCCCTTCCATCATCAGATTGTACTGAGATTGCATTTTAAAAGTATAGGTTATTTATAGAGAATAGCCGCGCGGCTATTTGTTTTAAAGAATTTGACAAAAGACAAAAGTAAAGAAACTAATTTTATACTTTTATATATTTTTAAAAAAACTTCCCCGATGACATTCGTCGGCCTAAAATTTGCCGGATTAGACCTCTCATGATGACATTTCGTCAGTAGAGGTCTAATCCGGCAAATATTTGCCGACAGAGACATATGCGGACGAACTTTTATCGGGAGAGTTTAAAAAAAATAAATATACACTTAATATCTTTATTTCAATAATTTTTTTTAAAAAAAATTCTTTCTAGTAATTAAATAATATCTTAGCCTTATTTAATTACTTTTATTAATTATTATTAATTAATTATTATTTATTTCGTGAATAATTAGTATTATTTCTTTCATAAATTATATTGCTTAATAAATAGTAATTAATTATTTTAATAGAATATTTAAATACTAATTATTCACTAAGTAAATAATAATTAAAATATAATTACTAATTAAAGTAATTAAAAAAGAGAAATCTAGATTATACTTTTTAAAGGGTATAGCCGCATAAATATACCTTTAAAATATTCTATTTATAGAGTATAGCCGTGAGGCGATAGTTTAAAATATTCTATTTATAGTGTATAGCCGTGAGGCGATACTTTAAAATATTCCCTTGACCAACAGACTTCTAACCATGTTGAGAATGGTTCAATTCTTCCTCTCTGATACACCATTATATGCTGAGGTGAATATGTGGCT